TTGAGAAAGCTCAAGATATTCAGCCTCAAGATATTCAGTCTCAAGATATTCAGCCTCAAGATATTCGTAGCCTCAAGATATCAGTCTCAAGTGATATTCAGGCTTGTAGTCTGTTCCTTATTCAAAAATCCTCATTTCGTTTGAATTTTTGTCTTTCTTAGAAAATTCTCTAACGTTTTGCTACTTTATATGCTCTTCCTTTGCTAACATAATTATCTGTATGCTAACAGAATTATTCATGCTTAAATAGAATTTGAGCCTTCTTTTACAGGCTCACACTGCAATAACTACAGCTGATCATTCAGTGGAATTGGCTTTCTTGGGCTTTCAAAACTTTTCAGAAAAGAGCGCTCATTGTTTATTTTTTATCTAAAAGCAGTTAGCAAAAATTTAACTTTCGGGTGTATTGGGCAGTTATATAGAGATTTGGAATATGTTTTGATTTTTTTACTAAAAGCTCCCAAATTGGGGGGATATGTCCCATTTAACAAGTCTCGCGGCATCCCCTCAGGCACGCTGCCATTTTTGCCGCGTGCTGAACTCAGTTGGAGAGCTTTTACAACAGCTGTATGCATTCAATTTGGAAGTTTTTAGAAGATGGAATTCAGCCAGGAATTAGGTTCTCAAATCCCTATAGAATATTTCACTAATTTTTGGAATGGGTTGGACATATGTTAGCTGTGTTTTTATAGAAAAAGTTTTCTAAAAACTTTTGTTCACGTAGAATCAATCATTTGAGAGGACTCACTAATGTGGGACAAAAACTATGCAATAGTTGGCTAAGACTCTTTTGTTCCCGCTTACAAAAATGGAAGAGTGAAGCGCTGGCCGAGAGGAAATTCTGCTCTGTAATATCAAGTTTTTGGTCAGGAGTTGGATTTCTCTTTACGCCAAACTTTTTTGAGCTTTACTGTACCTGACTCAGTCCACGTTATGAACAAATTCTCTTCGGGACCTTCATAAAGATGTTAAAGAACTTTTAATATTCTGCTAAACAAGTTTTGGTTATATTTTAACTTTCAAATTTGCAATTGAAACTGAAAAGAAAGCTCTGATTTATGTGAAAGTTTTTAAAAGGAAATTGAGAGCTATTCAAAATTCAGACTTGGTCAAAAGACGCTCGAATTCAAGCGATTACAAATTCACGCATCATGGTTCAACGAAATTCCAATTCTTCCATTGTTGTCATGTCATTTATTTAGTATGTTTTTCTTGCTTTATGATTTCAGAAGAAACTCTTTAAGTTTTTTAAAACCTTAATTCGTGATCTTTAAATTTTTTTAATAATGACCTTGGTAGCATTCCCTTTGAGAATTGGAAAAACAATCCTAGGTCTGGGATTGAACTCTGGACCTTCTGCTCAGATACCACTGAGTTATCTGTAAAAGCCGCTCGAAAAGAAATAGGAAAGATGATGAAGAAGAAAGAAAGAAAGCAGGAAGAAAGAAAAGAAAAAGAAAGGAAGATGTTGAAACAGGATGGAAGAAAGGAAATGGAGATGGAAAATGAAAAGAAAGCAGAAAGAAAGAAAGAAAGTTTCCAGAAAATTTCCCCCTCAGGAATGGGACCAATCCCATGGGTTTACAATGCTGAGATGGATTCCGATTGTGGGCAAGACTTAAGATGTACCTGGATAACAACATCTGCTCAATTGGATCCTCAATCTCTTAATTGCTCTCACTTTTCTTTCACTTGGTGAAGCGATCATAAAATATGGTAACGATTATACATGGGATGTTTCTGAGTTTAATAAAATCCACAATCATTTGTCAGTTTCAAAAGAACTCTGCCGAAAAAAACTTTCTGTACAAAATTGACTCATAGTGTGGGGGTGGGGAGGCGCGTGTTAAAAGGTTTTTTGGCACTGTCCTTTTGGGGATCTAAATCTGTAGAACTCAAAAATCTCGGTGTTCGTTTGTCCGACTTTAATACTCTTTGTACCAATCGACAGGAGAAAGATTTGGCGTATCTAATGATATCAAGAAGGTTTCAAATTGGAGAGCCCAACACCAAGAAAATTTGAGTTCAAAGTTAAATTTTCGTTTGTAAATGGTGCGTGGGGCAATTGTATAGAAAGAGTCGGGGTCAATATCAGTCGCCTTTTATAGTGGCCCCACCCTTTCCCATTGAAAACATAACTTTAAACTCGAATTTCTCGGTGTTGGGCTCGTCCAATTGAAATATTTTTTGTATCGCACCAAAAGAGAAAGACGTGGGGCATCTAACGATAATGAAGAATATTTAAATCTGACAACCCAACACCAAGAAATTTGAGCTCAACGTCGGATTGTCAAAGGCCAAAGATTGAGTGCCTATAAAAGGCATTTGATATGCGCCCGTCCCTTTTGCCATTAACGCCCAGTTCTATTTGGGATTGGCAAGCCATCTTTGAGCTCATTCCCTGGTATCTGCTGTTCAAAACAAACAATTTTTGTACCAATTGACAGAGGTGACTGTATGCATACCAATGATATCAAGAATATTTGAATTGAACAGCTCAACACCGAAAAATTAGAGCCTGGAGTTGGGCTGCCAGTGGCAAATGGGGCCGGCGCCCCAAGCGGGAAAGATCGACGTTGCATTGAAGTGATTTCAAATAAAAAACCCTATCAAATGGACTAGGTTTCATTGAAAACTCATTTTGCTTTTGGAAATTAGACTGACTTTCTACTGGGTTTTCTTATTAGGCTTCGGAATCCCGAGGAAAAAACCTCCACACCGCTCAACTTTCAGGATCTTTTTTTTGGTATGCGAGCTTCACAGCCGTTGGCTTTGTCATCTTTTTTACATATTTATGCCGGTAAACGAAGGGTCTTCAAATGGAACAAATCGAGAATCTTTTCAAATCAACTGAAGAAAGACGGAAAACCCAAATTTCCTGATATCAAATGAAAGTTTTTGTAGTTCTGCTTATGAAATTAAAGTTATAAAATTAGTAATTTTTTATTAGCGCTCGAGGAATTGTCCAGCTCTTCTTCTTTCTAAGCCCTGGCCTTTTCGGGATTTCTCTTCAAACTTTTCGCTTTTTTTGTCATTGGATTTTGAGCTTTTTCAGCTTTTGTATTTTTTTCGGGATGGGGGAAATTGCACCTGGAAAAAAGGCACCTTTTTTTTTGCTGGAAAAGGCCTTGGGAAAGGTCCTAGAGCCTCAAAAAATTGTTCTCATTTAAGGGAACTGTAGCTCTAGATTCAGAATTTGCACGAATCAGACCTCACTGACAGCTTCAGCCTTTTTTTACTGAGTTCCAACTGCGGAAAAGTGTTAAGGTCCATAGTTTTTGCCTTTTGGGCCCAATTTTGACGTGTCACAGAGATTCCGATTTGTCAAAATTTTAAATCTACTGCATACAGATTCCTCTAAAACCATTTTTAGAAGCCCTACGACTTTTCCTGACGCCTCTTCCAGCGGTCAAAAAAGTGGGCAAATGTCCAGGTGCCGGGGAAAGGTGGCAGATTTGTCCCACCCCCGCTTTTTCAGCTTTTTCAGCGTTTTCTGTTTTTTTTGTTGGTCTTTCATTGTACTTATTGAATTCCCTTTGCTCATTTTATCATTATTCAAATTTAGATTGATAATAAGTTATGCTCACAAGAATTTTCTGGATCAAATATCACAGGAAAGGAATAAAAAAGTCTTTTTTCTAAAAGAAAATCAAGAAAATCAAGAAATCAAGGAAATCAAACATTCAGCGAACCCCCAAAATGGAAGCAAGAAATGAAATATTGAATTAGAAAAAGAAGAATAAGAAAAAGAATAGAAAGAAGAATGAAAAAGAATCAAAAAGGAATTAGAAAAAAAGAATTAGGGAAAAAAGAATCAAAAAAAAAGAATTTTCAAAAAAGAATAAAAAATTGGAAAAAATATTAAATGAGAGAGGCTGAAATTATTTGCACTTTAAGCGCAATCCTAAGAGCCAACGATCTTTTTTCTGGGGTTAAACGCTCCAAAGTCTGGGGTGGCGTTTTCATTTCTTCAGACGAACGGATGCTTGGGATTAAAAAGGGTTCCACCCTGAAAAATCCCATCCCACTTTTACAATTTTTCAGAGAGGATTTGGCAAAACACACAAAGAAACTGACCCTCTTTGACATCTTCATTGATCTATTGCCAACATTGGGTCAAAAACGGTTTTTTTCACAGATTTCTGCGAGAGATTTGTAACCTCCAAATTGGAGAAAAAGCAAAACGAAAACCACATTTAAACCCGCCACGAGCCCATTTTGGCTTACGGTAGCTTCCCATGATTTGTAAATCCATTTTCACTACCGTAATTATAGAATAGAGGGCCGACGGTAGTCTGAAAATATTTTTCGTCTGTTTTTTGACCAAAGATTACCGTAAAACTCTAATCGAAGTGGAGCATCGAGTCTAACTTTTACTCTCAAATAAACGCTCATATCTTGACACCAGTACGTTTGTTTCTATTTGCTTTGTTATCAAATTAAAGTGTAGAGAATGTGGTGACTTTTGTTTTATAACACTTTTATTTTTATCATTAACTTTTGAATGGAAAAAAGTGATTGAAAAACCGCAGGAAAGTCGGTTTTTCATCATTTTTCTAGGTAATATAGGGATTAAGCTTTCAATGAAACTGGGCAATGTTATCCAGTAGTCGACAGTGTGACTGCGTGAGTAAGTGTTCACAAAGTTGCTTTTAGAGAGCCTGGTTCGAATCCGCTCACCGTCAAATTATTTTGCTTTTTATTAAAACACCCCAAACCATTTTGGGGTGCGGTCAAAGTGTCTGTAAACTTGGGGCAGTTTAATTCAAAGTCAGCTTTACAAGAAGGGGCAGCCACGCAAAGTATTAGTTATTTTTCACTCACTCCGTACAAAAAGCTGTTTTCCCCGGTTGTTCGCTGATTTGCCAGATCTGTTGGCCAAAATGGCTCTGATCTGGCTAGACCATAGCCTCGGCTGAGTTTGGATCTCGGGATAGAACCTCCTGTTAAAAAGAAAACACACTGATCTCGAGATCTACACATCTACACAATCTGCTTCAATAAAACTCTACATCAAGCACCCTTCGGCATTCACCCTGTCCTTGAGTAACAGAGAGATTTACTTGGATTGACCAACCAAAAGATAGGGAGTTGCACCATATTTGTCGATCATTTCCTGAAGCTCTTTTATTTAGTTTCCTCACTTCCTTCTGAGCTATGATTTCTTGAATTAAGAATCTCCTGAATTAAGAATTTCCTGAATTTGCAAACCTGGAAAATGTGTGAAAGCGTCTTGAGTTCCTCCTTTCCAACGGTGAGATTCACCCCAAGCGGTGGGCCACTGCGTGATCGTCGCGTCTTCATCCATTTCCGACATGGATTTCAACTCTTTCCTGAAATCAGAGTCTTTTAAAAAGCAGATAATTGTTTAGAATTGTGTCGTTATTCGTGTTCGTTTGTTATTCCGGTCGTAAATTAACAAACCAACATCGCCAAACCTGGTTCGATCACGGCTAAAAGCGCGTAAACGGAGGCGGCTCGCGCTCCCATTTGCTCCATCGGACAGCAATAGTTTTTGTGCTTTCTCTGGCTTCTAAATCACTCATTCTCATACTTTAAATTACACAATGGTACGCATTCAGATCGTAGATTTACCGCATTTTTACGAACACCACACCATGGGGAGAGAAACAGAGATCCATAAATTATCTGGCGTAATCATCCGAGCTTGATTGAGCTTCGCCTTCGACTTTATTCAATGAGCTTTTTTCTGCAAAATTCCCTGTTTTTTTTTTGTTCATTTCGAGAAACAAGTCGAGTAAATTAAAGAAATTAAAGAAATGAATGGGAAAGAATTGGAAATGGGAATTGAAACTCCGACGCTTTTCTACTACGCGGATACTACTGATTAATGGTGCTTTTTTTCTCCAAGAAGTAACAGGAAAGATTATCATCATCATCAATCCTGTCATCATTATGTTCATTGCTTTATAAAATCATTCTTCTTTCCTCAGGTATGTAATAAGGAAGTGAAGAAATTGGCAAGAAAGCTGATAGATTTTTGGAGAGGACTGAAAACTCGAGATTTTCGGAAGTGGATTGCTTTTTCCGCTATTGTTTTGCCCACTGCGCTATCGGGTACCTTAAAATGGCAATAAGAGAGAGATGGAAAAAGACAAGGAGGAAGAAGAAAAAAGCAGGAAGAAACAAAACAAACAAAAGAAGGAATTTAAGAAAGAACTAAAGGAAAGAAGAAGGAAGAAAGAAATAGAAGGTAGAAAGAAAGAGGGAGAACGAAAGAAAGATGAAATATAGTAAAAAAGGAAGGAAGTAGAAAGAAAGAAAGGAAGTGAAAAGAAAACGAAGATGGAAAGAAGAAAGAAGAAAGAAAGGAAGAAGGAAGGGAAGAAAGGAGGAAGCAAAGTACGCAGGAGGAAAGGATAAAGGAAAGGTAGAAAAGAAAGGAAGAAGAAAGGAAGGAAGAAGGAGAGAAAGAAAGGATTGAAGAAGAAAGAAAGAAGAAAGTTCGTGAAGAAGGAAAGGAATGAAGTGGAAAGAAATGGAGCTGACTGACAGTCATAAGTTATGACTATTTTTCGCCATTTAACTCTTAGTTTTTATCTTCGAGCAATTGTTTATTCTATTTCTTCACAAAGGCGCCGTGTCTTCTGCTCTTAATCCTGCAATTTTAACTGGCTGGTTTATAGCGGAAAATAGCCACAATATTATACAGTGTACCAAAGGTTGAAACTCACGGATTCTTGGTCGCCCCAAATTGGGCCAATCTCCGCACAGCTTTCAAAGTTTTTGACTTTGTCGATGCTAAAATTTCAGCCAGAACCACACCGACGATTTTCCTTGTGCAATGTACGCTCGATTGGTATAGACATCTTTCGATTGTTTCTCGTCTTCTGTCTTTGCAGCGAGCTTCTGAAAAAGGAATGAAAAGGGAATGAATGAAATGAAAAAGGAAATCTTGCAATTATCCCTATAATGAAGCGAAGCAAGGGTTTCAATAAAGCAAAGTAAGGCTCAGTGGTAGATTTTCGGAGAGGAGATTGATCTTGGCCTTGACCTGAAGCTTGCAGACGCGGATGCCTTAACCACCGTTTCAACCACAGCTCTTAACCACAGCTCTAATCACAGCCTCTAACCACTGAGCTTATCCGGAGACCTCCTTAGGAGTTTAATCGCTTTGACTTGTGTTCTTTGAACACCCCTGAGAATACGATGATCATTCTCCTGATTAGTCTTTTTGGGATCACGGAAGGGTTCAGCACAAGTCCCCATTACTTCATTGCCCGGATGCTTGCTCAAAGTGCTGTATTTCAGGTAGAAAGGTAAGCTCTCCAACCACTGAGCTAAAAAGGAGTTTAAGCTTAAAAATTGGTCACAAAAGAGGCCAGCAACAAAAAAAAATGACTTCAATTTCGAAAATCTTACAAAACCTTTTCAATATTTCTATTTAAATGAATTTATTATTAACTAATAATCGTTAATTCTTTAAAACTCGGGAGGGACAACAATCCTTTGTTTTGCTGACATTTCGCAACTTTTTTCCGCACTAGCTCCATTAGCGCACCTTTTTTCAGTGTTTTAAAAAGCTCTAAAAACAAATATCAACCAATCTATTCCAAATGTTGTTTTCTAGGTATTCTAGGTAATTTTAGGGTGTAGAATTCAAATTTTGACATAACAGAGCGTGTGGAACCAATTTGAAAGACAATTTGAAAGCCAAAACGGCTAGATCAAATTACAAATTACAGAAACATGGTATAGGGCTGAACAGTCGATTTTTGTATATCATCCGTCCGCTCTGCTTCCCACAAGCCTGATATGTCAAAATTTCGATTCTACGCCCTCTGGAGTCTTCGACTTGCTTGTGCTGGTGGCTCGGGACTCAGAGATCCAGTGGAAGTGATCGAGAGAAGAAGACTCAGATGCTTTCCGCCACGTAAACCAGAAGAACAGACTAGACAGATTGAATCGATATGGATTACGGAGTGGGTGCCACGAGACCAGAAGAGGCCCATCGGCCGACCACGTAACCAGAAGAGGCCCAGCAACGAGGTGGAGCACAAGAGTGGCAACGACAGTCAGAGAAAGGATGGCTACCACCACCAGCACAAGCAAGCCCATCTGAGTCTTCTTCTCTCGATCACTTCCACTGGATCTCTGAGTCCCGAGCCACCAGCACAAGCAAGTCGAAGACCCAAGAGGGCGTAGAATCGAAATTTTGACATATCAGAGCTTGTGGAAACAAACGGACGGAGTTATACAAAGAGAAAATCGGACAATTTTATTTTCTGTATTTTGATCTTAAGCTGTTTTGTCTTCAAATTGTCTTTCAAATTGGTTCCACAAGTTCTGATATGTCAAAATTTCGATTCTGCGCCCTGAAATTACCTAGAAAAACAACTTTTGGAATAGAAATTGGTTAATATTAGCTTTTTTAGCTTTTTACCTTTTTAGAGCTTTTTTAAAACGCGAAAAAAGGTGCGCTAATGGGCAAGGTGCGGAAAAGAAGGTGCGCAAATGTCCGGGTGCGCAAAACAAAAGGTCGCATTTGTCCCACTCCCAAAAACTCAAAGAAAATCGAATTTTAAACAACAAACCTGTGCCTCACTGATGCATCCCTGAAAATTCCCAATGTAAAAATTGTTTCGAATGTCGAACAATTTATCCACTGACATTTCGAATTTATCTAAATAAAAGTACTTTTTATAAAAGCGTTAGCTATGATAAGAATAAGAAAATCAACCCTTAACTGAATATTTTTAACTCCAAAAACCCACGACACGTCAAGAAGGGAAGCGAGAGTCGAAAAGACTTGGCTACCGCTTTTCGAGTTGTGTGCCAATTCGTTCGTGTCGAGACACAAAACGAACTCTTACTTTCCCCAAACGAAACACGCTACAAATGACGCTCATAATCCTTCGGTGTAAAGCTTTTCAAAAGATTATCTTGGCTAATTGTTTTTGATACTTTAGGCAAAGGATTGTAAGGGTATGCTGGCTTTAAATTAACATAGAAAACTGGGTAAGCTGGCTTTAAATGAGCATTTAAGATGACCAAATGAAATCAAAATGTATTACAATAGTCTTTCATTGTTAAATCGGATTGAGCACTATATTATTTACTTGTTAAACCAATCTTATTAACCTTATTAACCACTATAATTACTTGTTAGTAAGTATAGTAGTAATAAATATAGTAGTACTTGTTCAGTACTCACTATATTATTTCTAATAGAAGCAAAATTTTGGGGATGATGGTTGAAAAATAGAAGAAGCAATAGAAGAAGAAGAAGAACTGCTAATCGATCTAGAGCTTCTAATCGATCTAGAGCTTCTAATCGATCTAGAGCTTCTAATCGATCTAGAGTTTCTAATCGATCTAGAACTTCTAATTGATCTAGAGCTTCTAATTGATCTAGAGCTCTCTAATTGATCTAGAGCTTCTAATTGATCTAGAGCTTCTAGTTGATCTAGAACTTCTAATTGATCTAGAGCTTCTAATCGATCTAGAACTTCTAATTGATCTAGAGCTTCTAGTTGATCTAGAACTTCTAATTGATCTAGAACTCTCTAATCGATCTAGAACTTCTAGTTGACTTGAGAGCTTCTAGATGATCTAGAACTTCTAATTGATCTAGAACTTCTAATCATTAACTATGATTTAGAATCCCTGATCTAGAGCTTCTAGTTGATCTAGAACTCCTAATTGATCTAGAGCTTCTAATCGATCTAGAGCTTCTAATCAATCCAGAACTGCTAATCGATTCTAGAGCTTTCTAGTCGATCTAGAACTTCTAGTCGATCTAGAGCTTCTAATCGATTTAGAACTTCTAAATGAACTAGAACTTCTGTAGAATTCTTTGGAAAAAGAATTCTCAGGCTAATAACTCAGTGGTAGAGCATCAATCTGGTAAGCAGACGGTTCAATTTCTTTGATTTCAAATTCTTTCCCATTCACTCCCAGCAAATAGTAACTAAAATGAGAATGCGATCTGACTAAAGCCACTTTTTCTCTAAAATTTACTATATAATGGTCAATATTAGATTAGGCACTTGTAAAAATATCGAGAAAAGCAGCGTTATACATAATTCCGAACAAGATATACTATAGAGACTGGAGTTTAACACTGGTTTTCTCAATATTTTTGCAAGTAAGCGTTTAATCTAATCTTGGCCACTATATAGTAGAATTTAATGGGGAATTTTTTCTTTTCCAAAGAATTCTTTCTTGTTTAGTTCTTTCTTAGATTGTTATTATCATTATTGCTTAATCAGTAGCTTCTCTTGCTTTCTCTTGCACTCTTGCATTCTCTTGCATTCACTACGATAGTCAGAGAACCCAATTCTCCCGTTCAACTGATTTTAAAGCCTTCAAATTGTTAAAATCTTATTGTTTCTTTATGAGATTGTATTTGTATATTTTTATTTTTTAGATTAATTGTCAGATTAACCATGGAAGAGTTGTCAAGCATTTCCCAAAGTCCACGAAATCCATCTTCTTCAAGAACAAACCCTTCCAAATCTTCCACACCTTCAATTTGGGAAATCTCTAATAAATCCTCATCAAGCAATTCATCGAGTTTCAGTGATTTGAAAAGAAGAAATGAATTGCTTAGAATACAGGTTTTTTTTGAAAAGTTTTCTTATAATCAAAAATGTTTTTAGCTAAACAACGAGAAGCCGAATTGGCTAAGGAGAAGATGAAAAGAGATGAAAAAATTGGAGAAAAACTACAAGCACAAAGTGAAGCTGAACAAATGAAGGTGAGAAATTATTCAGTTTAAGCAAAAGAGTTAATATTAGGGTTGGTGAATTGAAAACTGTGGGACTTTGAACTAAAATTTATTGAACATAAAACCATGAATTGATTCCAAATAATTTCCATTATTATTAACGACTTCTGCCCATTTTACAGGCAATTTGATTCCTCTTTCGTAGTAGGATTGGTTTGGTTTGATCTTGGTTTATGTGTGAGACAAGTGTGAGACTCAAAATGGAAGACTGGAGATGGAGGCTGAGATGTCCCAGTTTGAGCACTTTCTTCAAAAGAAACCCATTTTGGTGTCAATAGAAAAGTTGTAGAGAATCAAAAATTAGGCTTATAGCCAAATTTCCCAAAATATACACTTAGTAGTTTCGCTTAAAATGCAAGTTTTGTGAAAATTCGCATTGGCATTCGAAAATTTGGCATTTCTTGAAAACCAGCTTTTGAATCGTTCTGAAAATTTGGATCTAACCTTGATTTTTGATTCTCTACAACTTTTCCATTGACACCAAAATGGGTTTCTTTTGAAGAAAGTGCTCAAACTGTCACATATGACAATAGCCCGCAATTTTCAATTCACCAACCCAATAGTTTTTAAATTTAAAAGCCAAGGGGAAGGGGTTTTTAAATTCAAAAGCAAATTCAAAAGCAGATTGAAAAGCAAGTTTAAAATCCCCTTCAAGTTAAAGCTGCTTTAAGCTTTAAGCTGATCAGCTTTATGCAAAAATTCAGGCAAAAATCGCAGCTCTTACTTTAATCTCCGATGATCTTCAACAAATCATTGTCGAGTTGTGAAGAAGAACAAGAAAGAAGATTGAGAGAATTGGCGACAATGTACAGAGGACACTTCGAGGAAATCACTGAAATGACGACGAGGCTGAGGAATGAGAATGGAGAGCTGAAGAAACGATTGACCGAACATCAGGCAAAGGTTGGTTAGGCTTCGGTTGGTTAAGGCTAAGAAAATTTCGTTTTCTTTTCCTTTTCTGAACTTTTCTAAACGTTTAGAATTTCTCTCATAGCCAAGAGAACAAATTTCTGCTTTGGGAAAACGATACTACGAAATCGGAATTGGAAAAGCTGAAGAATGAACTCGAGAATAAAGAGAAGGAAATCTCGGAGCTTAGAAATGGAGATCATTACCTAGGAAATTGGTGACAACAAAAGCTCGCGCATGACGACGAATGCAAAGTAGGGTTTTGATTTTGAATCGATAGGATATTGTTGAATCTAATACTGATCATCGGATTTGATATTTTATCTAATGATCAGGTATTGAGAATGCTAAAAAGAGGACTTTCATATAGTTTGTTTCTATTAGTGAATAGGTTTTCTATTAATGAATGAGGTTCTGTTGGAAAAATTACGGTTTTTAGATTGGAGCGAGTGATACAGACAACGGCACAGAGCACATCCACTCAATTGAACTCAATCAAGATGCAGTTTGAGGACAGAGAAAAAGAGTATGGACTGACGCTGACAAAGATTCGGAATGAGATGGAGTTTCTACAGAAAGAGGTGGTTCTTGAGTTCTCACACTGTTAACGCGCGTTAGCCGGCGTTCGTATATAAGATGCTGTTCGTATCTAAGCCGGCACTAGTATATAAGCCAAAGCGCGTATATAAGCTGGCACTCGGATATAAGCCGGGGCTCGTATATCGCCGGCACTCGTATCTAAGCTGGCACTTAGTGTATAAGCCAAAGCGCGTATATAAGCCGGCGCTCGTATATAAGCTGGCACTCGGAGCTAAGCCGATACCAGTATATAAGCCAAAGCGCGTATATAAGCCGGCGCTCGTATATAAGCCGACGCTCGTATATAAGCCGACGCTCGTATATAACCCGGCGCTCGTATATAACCCGGCGCTCGTATATAAGCCGGCACTAGTATATAAGCCAGCTCTCGTAGATAAGGCAGTGCTCATATGGTAAGCCGGCACTCTGGATATAAGCCGTATATAAGACCATTTTCAGCTCGAAAGACGAGAGAATCAAGTGAATCGTCTCACTCATCGACTCGACGAATTAACCATTGATAACAAAAAGATGTTGGATATTAATACGGTTCAGTTGATTGGAATTGAATTTAGTTTCAACATTTCAGGAACTTCGACACGATATCCGATGATGAGTTGGCTAAGTTGAAATCAGAGATCTCGAGATATCGCAATGAACTCGACGAGTTGAGAGATCAAAATGAGAATCTAAAGTTTTCTTTTAAAGAGAACACACAACGAGGTGAGGCAAAAAGCCAAAAAGCCAAGCTCTAAAGCCAGTTTTATACCTGACTCTTCTCTCATTAGCTCAAAAGATCCAAGATATTCATCAAAAAGATTTGAATGGGATTTTTTAAACAAATTTACTCTTTAGACCTTTTGTCGAAGGATTTTTTAATAAAGGCCAACCTAGGAAAAGTTTAAAATTGTTAAAAATCCGACTTTTTGAAAGAAAAAATTGAGAAAAAAAAATAGTTTGGCTTCAGTTGTGAATTCGTAGTAATATTGGCTAGATGAAAAAAACTGAGAAAATTTAACTAATTTTTTTTTTTCTTGGATTTGTTTAGATCAATTTCATTTTTTAATTTTAGACCCTTTAACAATATTCTGAAGTTTTCCCGGTACACAAGAAGAAGCTTGTGCTTGTTTTAAGCAAAAGCACTGGCTATTGATAAAATTTCATCGTTTAGCCTTGAATTTCATCGTCTAGCTTTGAATTTTATCGTTTAGCCTTGAATTTATTGTTTAATTGACCAAAAACGTTTAGCTTCATCAACAAAAGAAAGATACGAAATGGTCACTCATCAACAATATTGGAACAAGCACAAACTCTTATTAGGGCCCTGAGAAGCACAAGTAAGAGATTTTATTGAATTTAAAGGCAAATACTTATTTCTAAGAAGCTTTTACGTCCTTTACATGCTTTTACATGCTTTTAGCTTTAGTTTTTTTTTCCATTGTTTACATGGTTTTAGATTTACGACCTTCTCGAAAAGTGACACTGCAAAATTTGAGCTGACAAGTCAGCACTTCGAGAATTGCAACGCTCAAGACTTGAACTTGCAGAAATTCGGGAAAAACATCGACAAGTGGAAAAAGATTGCGATGAAGAAAGGCAACAAAGGATGGATTTGACGGAGATTTTGCTGGAAATGAGCAAAGATCTACAAGAGATTATACAATGGAGTAAGATTTTGGAGGCATGAATTTAAGCTGGACTGTTGACTGTGAGATCTTAGTAAACTAGTATAAGAAAGTATAAGAAAAATGAAGAATCAAGTACAATAGAAAAGGTGCGTTTCGGTTATTGCTCTCTTTGTTAGTAGCTGAAGTAAACTGAAGCTCAAAACTAATCGTTTTGAGCTTGAGGAATACGAAATGTTCGAAAGTTTACGAGGCTAAAAGATTTTGTTTCAATTTTTTCAAATTTACTTCCTTTAATATTTTTTTTATTTTTTGTTATTTTCTAATCAATTATTTGAAAAATCTTTAAAACTGGATTCTCTCTAATAGTAGTGCACCCTGACCTACTTACCTACTTACCTACTTACCGTATTTTCTCTCTAGTAGTGAGCGTCGTCTAAATTCCTCGAAATCTCGAGAACCGCTTATCAGAACCTATCGATGCAATGGGTCGGAAAATGTATTAACAATTAGATCTTTTTGGGGGATTAGATTGTTGAACTTCTGTAAGCTTAGGAACTGTCAAATAGTCGTTAACTCGGCGCGGTCTGGCGCAGAAAAAGTACTCCATTAGAGAAAATACAGAATATTCTCTCTAATAGTAGTGCACCCGAAGCGTCGCTTTCTCTAATGCTCGAAATGCTGGAACCGCTTATGAACCTACATGTGGGGTCGGAAAATAGTAGCTAACGATGAGATCTAGTGGGGGAAATGAGGCTGAGCTTCTCCGAAAGCTTGGGAACTGTAAAATAGTCCTAAATTCGGCCAATGTAAGAGTGGAAGAGCGGCTCCACTATTAGAGAGAATACAGGATATTCCATTAGAAATGTCCTATTTTTTCAAATTAAATCTTTATTTAATGTGATTATTAACCCGGAGAATTCTAAATTCCGCCAAAGGCTCAAGATCAACTTTGATTGATTGATTTCTCTTTGATCGAGATCAACGAAAGAGATCAACGAGTCAATCTATGCGATTAAATAAAGGTGAGTTGGTTTTTCATATTTAAAATCTAATAAAATTGGCAAAACAATCGGTAAAACAAGCGGAAAACGTTTTAAACAAGCGTTTTAAACAAAACGTTGGGTAATTGAACCAAATGGCCGGCCCTGTGTGCCGCGATTGTATTTTCTAACAAAGAACATTAGCTTTTTAATGTTTTTATCATGTTTTCAAACGAGTTTCAATATATTAAAACACATTTTATTTGCAAAAACACATTTTAAACAAAACGCTGGTAATTCTGAACGATCTGCCAACTTGCGCGATCTATAGGCTCAAATCCTAGAAAATAAGGAAAGTTTTACTTAATAAACGGTAAAAAGTTAGAATTTACAACAACTCTAAAACCGTTGAAACAAATGTAATTTATTAGAAAATACAATGTGCGGTCATACAAGCCGGCCATTTGATTCCCAACGAACGTTTTTTCTTTATAAAATTTGTTTTTTCCTGCTTGTTTTACCGGTTGTTTTGCCGATTTTACTAGATTTTAAATATTAAAAACTAACTTCTCTTTATTTAAATGGTTCAATTATCAATTTGGCTCAATTACCCAACGTTTTTCTTTTAAAATATGCTTTTTTCCTTGTTGTACCGCTTGTTTTATCGCTTTTTACCGCTTTTTACCGCTTGTTTTGCCGCTTTTTTACCGCTTTTTTGCCGTTTGCCATGTCTACAGGGTGACCAGAAAATACGGGGAATTTTTTGCGCATCGTCAAATTTAGCTCCCTCACCTTTTTAAAAAGATTTATCTCGAAAGTTTAACAAGAATTAAAAACTCAACTCTTTAACAATATTCCTACATTAAATTTTCACAATATTTTACCTTTGTTCTATTTCAATCTTCAAAGTTAAATTTACAAAATAAGACCTTGATCAAGATTCTGTCCAGCTACCAGTCTCTTCATCAATTCCGCTCGCTTTAGTCTCTTTTGCTTTAATCGGTCGAGCAAAAAAAGGGCTGCGGGAATGGGAAAGACCCTAAAATTCAAAGATTATTAATCAGAACAACGTAAACAAGCATTATAATAATACTTTATTCAAACGATAAAGTGAAAGAAATCATAGAGAAATGCACAGTGATACTTAATCATACAATACATACTGAAATGCAATAAGCCAATTTTCTTACGGCAAGAGCTAATCTATTAAAAGCATTATACGTTTTTGAATATGAAAAAGTACTAAATTTCTTCCGCCTATCGTGTTGGAGGAACAAGATTCTCGACCGAAAAATGAATTTGATAAAGAGGGCATTGGAAGCAAAGGAATTGTGCAAAGGAATGAGCCACTTCTGGGCCCTTGACCGCGGTTTAAATTTGAAAAAGTCTATAAACAAAGGCTAATCTGTTTACTTACTAGGGATTTGAAAGTTTCGACTAAATCAATGACAAAGCGACGATGCATTTGTAAAAGTTTTTAGTTCAAAAAAAAGCAAGTCTCTCCTCATAAGTAAAGCTAGAATATTTAGAATATTAGAATTATAGAAAAGAAACATCACAAAAACCAAAGAAAAACTTGATATCAAAAGGTCGACAAAAAATTCGCCGTATTTTCACCCTGTATTTCACCCTGTATTCTCCAGTTTTCATTTTGATGTTTTTTTTCTTTGAATCGAGTCACTTTAAATCATTTTTATTCATCGATAAACGTTTTTTTTTTATTTCGTAAAGCAATTTACAAAGGAAAAGGCGATTTCATCTCAAAAATCAATGCTAGATCATCGCAAAGAATACCCATATATGTTGAGAGAAAAATGACAAAAGAATACAAGATTTAAAGAGCCACTACACCGTATCGACTACAAGATGCTCCGTTTTGATTGTTCGATTCGGTTGAATCCGTCTCGTCGACGATTGTTTCCGCCGTTTTTGAGGATTTCATTTTGACACTGAAATTGGGATTTTGTTTTTGGAGCTTGTCAAATTTTGCTTTGCTTGCTTGCTTGCTTTGCTTGCTTGCTTGCTTTGCCCTTGCTTGCTTGCTATGCTTTGCTTGCTTGCTTTGCTTACTTGCTTGCTTGCTTGCTGGTTTGCTTGCTTCTGCTTGTCTTGCTTTGCTTTACTTGTTTGCTTGCTTTGCTTGGTTTCTGTTTGCTTTGTTTGCTTGCTTGCTTGGTTTGCTTTGCTTGCTTGCTTGCTTGCTATACATATTGGAAACCTGATTTTGTAGAAATTTCCGGTACTATCGGGTTATACTCATCGCTCACTTAAGCACTTAGCTAAACAAACGTTATAACGATGCCTTTCTCCGTTTAGCTTAACCTTTATCTACTATAATTTGATCTAAAAGTATAATTTAAACATAGTCTAAATAAATACTCATAAATAAATACACTAAACAGATTTTTTTATGATGAAAAAACAAATACGGTACACATCCGCGCAAAAAACGGCAAAAATAAGGCAAGAACGTTCTCTATCAGAATTTCACGTTTGAAAGTCACTTTCAACTTAAAAAGGCATCAAGTCTTCGCAGAGTTGATCAATTTTTATTTTTTTTTGGTATCAAATGATCTTCCAACACGTCCACACAAAAGTTATCGGTTTTGAGGGCGCAATCTTTCGACCACCGCTGAGAACGAGCCACCGAAAGTTGGTCGCGGCGAGCGAGTTGATTGTAAAAGTTGATTGTTGATTGTTTTTCGATAAAACGCGTTTTGAAAAAATCGAGTCAGACGGATTTCGATAATTTCTTCACCATTTGATTCAACACAATTTTCTGCGTCGAATGGATATTCAATCGTGAAAATTTGATAGAGAACACCATTTTCGCGCGGATTTAGCGGTACCCAAGCCCCAAGTTTCGATTTAAATCCATGGGTGTGATGTGCTTTAGCACTGTAGCATGATCAACCTCAACTCTTCTCCCAATTCACGCGATGATACCTGAGCGGTCGTTGGTAATGAGTTCGAGTAATTTGGAATCATCCAGTTGGGGAAATGCTGCCCACGGCCCTCCTGCATCTTTCAAAGATTTTTCGAATGGATATTCAAACGTGAAATTCTGATAGAGAACACCATTTTGCGGTATTTCCTATTTAGTTGCTTGATAGCTCCTTGATAGTTCCTTTAAAGTTCTTTATAGCTCCTTTATAGTTCCTTCCTTTATAGTTCCTTTATAGTTCCTATTTAGTTCCTTTATAGTTCCTATTATAGTCCCTTCATAGTTCCTACTTAGTTCCCTTATAGTTCCTATTTAGTTCCTTTATAGTTCCTTTATAGTTCCTTTATAGTTCCTTTATAGTTCCTACTCAGTTTCTTTTATAGTTCCTATTCAGTTCCTTTATAGTTCCCTTTATAGTTTCTATTTAGTTCCTTGAAGTTCCTCTATAGTTCCTTTATAGTTTCTTTATAGTTCCTTTATAGTTCCCTTTATAGTTCCTTTATGTTTACATGCCAATGATGACAACGAATGGAATGAATCAAGAAATGATACAACCAATTTATGGGAATATCACTGTACAGCAGAGGTTTAATTTGAGTGATATTTTGATCTATATGAGATTTAATATCCTGGCATGCAAGAGATCTATCGAAGGATTCACTGATTGATGACAGAAGTGATCCGGTATTTGATCTTAGTATTAGACATAGTCTTAGTCAAGTAGTCAGTAGTCAGTCATAGTCATAACTTTGCTCTCTCGGTGTCGGGAGGCACTTTTATGTAGTGGTAACGCTACAGCTTATGCCCTATCAGATGGCCTTGCTTGTTGGGTGAACTCCTAGCGAGTTGCCCCATGAGTACCAAAATTTCTTGAGGTAAACTTTGCTAAACGAACTCCTTCTCAAGTCGCCGAGTGCAATCTCTTGATCTTCCTCGTCATCCGATATGTCAGCTTCTTCCCATCTGAAAGAAAACATTTGCTTTTTTCGATCTTTTTCATTTCTTTTACCGGCTATATCTTTTTATCGGCACACTGACGTAAAACTAAAATTATTTCCGCAACAGACCAGAAAAATTGTGAAAAGAATCATTGCTTAGAGAAGGCATAAGAGACCGATCTCGAGAATCGACC